GCGCCTGTCTGTGGCGACGTGGGAGGAATCGCGTGACCAAAGACCGTGAAGCCACTTGAGCCCGGTTCAGATAGTTAAGCGAAATTCACCTCAGGTAGGAGGGTTTTCTTTCGCCGATTTCGCCGTCGCTCGACGGAAATCTAGCTTCTTACGCAAGGCTCGTTCGTCTCTTTCCTCAAGTCTAGGACGCTGGTCCCTGGGAGACAGTGCCCAAGTCCCGGGAGACTCCGGGAGCTGGTACCGTGTGCAGGCGCGTCCGGCCGCTCTGCCTGGTGGCTCTGCGATTCAGTTTCAAGCCTCCCCCACCCCACCCCCGGCAGTATTTTTCTGACGACTCGACAGGAAAAAAACACAAAAACTGTGTAAGAAACTCGAGAAGAGACTGTGGGATGCAGAACCGCACACGTGGTCCTGAAAATTGAATGGGAGGGTGGGGGAGGAGGGAAAGCGAAGAGAAGTGAAACTAGAAATCATGGTACAGCCTGCAAATTCAAGAATCACCCTTATTCTTTTCCAATAGATATCGTTTTGGTTCTTCACAGCTACACTTATCCAATGAAAGTGGAAGAGGGAAAATAATGCTCTGAACGGTGACGTGTCTACGGACATAAAAGTACAAGCAACTCAGCGATGGTGATTTTTTGCGGGGAAACCTCAGAGATGCTCTTCCTGAGGCTGTTTTTAAGGAGTAGTAGGTTGTTTTCCCAAAGATTTTGAAAGCTGCTTTGTCCAAATCCAAGATACAGAGATGTGCAAACTCCTTTAAGCGGGGCATTTGAGTTTCATTCATTTAGAGAAATCTCAAGCTCTCAAATACTAGTGAAGATGATCCTTTCTTGATTTGGGGGTGACTAAACAGATAGGCAATACATAAAAGAGAAGTGGCTTACTTCTAGAAGCTATTTGGCTTCAGAATGTACCTTCTTTTTGCTAATAGAATATATTATTGTAAATAAAATAAAAAGACTAACTTCTGTCAATGCAGATGCATCATTTGATAATTAAAACTGACCACGAATTTTCTTTGTAAGGGAGAAGACAAATCAAAGTGCTACTGCTAATGTCTCAACCAAGATTTAAGAAAAATTACATCCCCAAAAGAACGTTGAGTTTTGTTTTTCTAGTCTATCATGTCTTGAATTAAATAAAACATGTTAACAAGATTGAAACGAAAACTTTGCATGATGTAAACATCCAAAGAAAGAAATTCTAGATTGATTATATTCTGGGGCTACAAAGATTTTACTAGATATCACCAAAGTAGTGAAACCAGAGGCCAAGAAAGCAGTGGGGCTCTAACTGGAGGGAGGGAGGGTTTAAAGAAATTTCCCCCAATTAAATATGTGTATATATATATATACTGCATAAAATGTAAATGCAATAAGTTGACCTGAGTTTTATTTTTCCAGGATTCCAACTTGTGTTTTGTAGATTTGAAGGCCAATTGCCAATTCATAAATGTATCAGAATAAAACACAAGAGCAAATGCCAAATGCCTGTGGTTTCTGCAAACTACATAAAATCACGGAATTTTTACATTTAGGTAGATAATGGAGAGATATAAAATCCTACATGAAAATCAGTTGTTATGGTTTGTCGTGGATTTCTACCCATGATAGAAATTTTCCTAAGT